CGTCTTCCTCCTGCTGCTTCCATATTTACTGCTGAACTCCAGGCCATCTTTCAGGCTTTGGAGTTCATTAAATCCTCTTCATCTTTAAAACACATTATATTTACTGATTCTTTGTCCTCTTTACAGGCAATAAATAATAAGCAGCTTGTACACCCTTTAGTAGCAGACATTTATCGTCTGCTACTATCACACGAGTTAAACGGCAAGGACACCGTCCTTTGCTGGCTCCCCAGTCATGTTGATATTAAAGGGAATGATCAAGCAGACTTAGCTGCCAAGTCTGCTTTAGATCTTCCCATATCACAATTTCTTTTACCTTTCACCGATTTTAAATCGTCCATTAATTGATTTATATATGACCGCTGGCAACGGTCTTGGGATCTTGCAGACACAAACAAACTTCATCACATTAAGCCTCTCTTAGGAGACTGGCCCAACTCCTATAGAACTAACAGGAGAGATGAAGTTGTTTTGTGTCGCTCTCGCAATGGTCATACTTTTTTAACTCATATTTTCATTTTTGAGCGAGAGCCTCAACCAGAATGTGAACACTGTCATGTTCCTTTGACAGTTAAGCACATTTTGATTGAGTGCAAGCATTTCAAGGATATTAGATCGAATTTTTACCGTTGTCAGTCACTACATCACATGTTTGCTCCGACATGTTTTTGTCGGATTCACATGGGCGCGTCCGAAGTAAACAAAGACGATGTGTTGATACATTTACACCCCAACCATCAGTTAGTAGTCTATCATGTATGGGTTGCAAAAAAAATAGAGTAGTAAGATTAATAAAAATATTATGAATTGTAGCCCAAAATGGAAATTTCTTGGATTCTGATTGGTCGAAAAGTGGCGTCGATTGAGTATAACAGTCCTCAAAATTTCCTGGACGACTCACTACGAATGAATATTTTCTGGGTAATATTTTCTGTTTGCAGTGGCCAAAAATTCTACACCTCAAAATTTTATTCTAGGAAATCTTCATGATTCTTTTGTTGTATGTCATCAACAATGAAATTCAACCATTGGCTTATTGAAACACACACCTGAAACACACAAAAAACAAAGTTAGTGAGTGTATTTGAAAGAATAAGTAAATTTCATTTCAAGGCTGGTCTGACAGTAATTATGGTTGCTATAGTCATTCTGTCATAATCAAACTGGTCAAAATCAAAGATTTTCAATAAGTGAATAAAAAATACTACAATTTATTGAACCCCCTGTGGACCGTAAATAACTGATGGTGATATATTTAAAATATATATATATATATATATACAAGACCGGCTGATACTGATATGAATAGGACAGAGACTCATTTTCATACACAGGGTTTTTTGCGAAGGAAAAAAAATCAAACCGTTGAAATGACAACACAAGTAAGCATAGCAACCGCATGCGCACGCTACACAGCATATATCTACACGGTCACATGAGTGTATGGACATTTATCAAACATGGTATGCAATTTATTTCGAACCTAGTCACTGCTAGAATTTAAAATCAATTAAAAAGTACATAAAATACACTTACGATTTCCGTTTCGATCTTCAAAATTATCGCAGAGTGACCTCCCTTTTCAAACTAGACTAGACTAGTGAACCAAATCGAACGGGAGGGAGTGTTATCTTATTACGTCACGGATATTTTCATTACGTCAAAATTGTTTTCTTTAGTATTTACGTCATTAAAAGCAAAAAACGACAGTCAACTATCGCAAAAGAAAGAATTCCAAGAAAAATGTTAAATATTTTGCGCTACAATATCGATAAACACCTCCTGTTTAGAATTTAACGGACTGTTATTGCCCATTTTTATAGTCCTATTTCTTCAACATACCTAGTTTGCATTTCTTATAGGTGTGTTACTTATTATATTTTTTTGCAATTACATAGCTGAATAACACAGATCAGTTCCTAAATTGATAGTTTATTAACCTTTTGGCGTTGTCTTATCTGGATTATCGCCCTTTTTATTGTTGTTTTTATTAGCCTACATTTAACTCAATGGGGTCACTTGGCAGACTACCGTCTTTTACGTCACGTCATTTAGCAGACGACCGTCGTCGAGACAAATCGCACTTTCTCTGTTTGCTTTTTTATATCTTTGTATTCAGTATTGTGTTTTCCTCTGTTTTGTGGTAATAAGGACATATCGTCGGTGGGGAGTCAAAAGGTTGTATCTGGATTTTGCGAAATTATCCAGGAGAATCAATTAAGATTCAAAATGTCTTATAAAACCGTCACGTCAAACTGTCGTATATAAAATGTATTTATTTCTGAAGCGTTTCTTAACTATCAGCACATGGCAATACTCTATATCGGAAAACACCGGAAACAACCGGAAAACTACCGGAAAACACCATTTTATACTGAATACCGGAAAAGCACTAAATACCGGAACACACAGTAGGCCTAAATACCGGAAAATACCCTAAATAGGTAACCCGGGGACTGGCACCCTAAGTAGGTAACCCGGAGACTGGTCCTCTGTGTGCCTGGGTTAGGTTTAAGAATTTGGGGGAGAGGTTAAGTCTCCACATAAGCACTGACCTAGGATGATGAAAAATTAGTTCGTGATATTTCCTAGTTTTATTAAAATACATACAATACATTAGATTTATATACAAAGGCGATTTCACTGTTTATTGGTGTTGGTGGCGCTGATGGTCTTCCTTGGGTGGTGCTTCTGGTATTCTGGTATTATTGTTTCTGAAGAAAAAAGAAAATAAATTGAGGCTCTCGGGAGAGAGCCACATTAGTGTGTTTCCTACTACGGATTGGATTTTCTAAAAAATCGTGTTTGTTCCACATCACCGGGTTACGGCTAGGGATTCTTATATCTAATTGATTTTAATTACTAACGGTTAGGCATAGGATTTGATATATGGTTTGTTTTGGGTCAGGGTGGAGACTGGTCTTATTTAATCTAATTTACTGTGCACTAGGATGTCGTTCAGATTTTTATTTTTAGAATATGCAATTATAAAATTCTGTGTGAATATTTTCGGGTGATTTTCTTTGAGATCAGTATAGTGTTTTCTGATGATTTTGGACGCACTTGCTGCTGTTGCGCTAAATGGAACTACAAAAGGAGCTATTGCGCTAGCCGTATGAATATTCAAACCTAGGGGGGCTGTTGTTTTCAATTTGTCAATCCAGAATTTTTCTCTTGTTAGCCTAAACGTTTTAATTTCTTCTGAAGTTTCAAAGTCGCTCTTGGTCTTTTCTATTGGCGTGACAATGAGATCAGAAATGTCATGATTTGGTTGGTTGAAATGAATTGAGACAGGTTTGTCTTTTTTGGTGACTATGTCAGACCGGTGACCGTTAATTCTTTCCCTAAGTGCATTTTGAGTCTCCCCTACGTATTGCTTGTCACATTTTCTGCATGAGATTAGATAAATTATGTTTGAACTACTGCATGAAAGTTGGTCTAATATTGGGAATTTTGTGCCAGATATTTTGTTATGGAAATGGTCGGATATGTTTAAGATTTTGCATGTTTGACATCTTGGATGGCCACAAATTTTGGTTTTATGTGCTGATTGTATATTATTTGTTTCTTTGGCGGCATGCTCAGCTAGAGTGTTGTTTTTTATACGTCGTAGATAGCGTTTTGAGTGCCCCCTTTCCCATAGTTTGCTAAATACCAATGTACATGCTGACTCAAAGTCGGTCTTCTGAGTACATATCCTATGAAAACGGAGAATCTGAGATTTTATGATGCCAGAGAATGTATGATTTGAGTGAAAGGAGCTTTTGAACAATAATTGATGTGTGTCGGTTTCTTTGATAAATACTTTAGTTTCCAATTGGCCTGTGATTTTGGTGTTGTTACTTTTAAAAACGGTAGTATCAAGGAAATCTCTGCTGTTATGGCTTACATTTGCGGTTAATTTGACAGATGAATGATGATTGTTCAGAATGTTGAAAAACGTCCAAAGTTCGTCTAGTGTGTAGGTCTCCACATAAGCACTGACCTGGGTAGTTTTCCGGTTGTTTTCCGGTGTTTTCCGGTTTATAGTATAGCCCATCCGCACATATCAAGCTCAACATCAAGTGCAGAAATAAAGAGTGAAAGCTAATTATTTGCAATTTTATACAGCAAAGACGTATCGCAGGAAAAATCCACCTTTACCTGCTTCAATTTCATAGATTTCACACAGTAAACGCTTAACAATAATTTCAATAATACGTATTTAAGCATAAAACAATACTAGCTATATTTCATTTGATTGTAATACTTTGGTTAGACACATAGTTGATTTTTTTCAAGAAAATACGACATTTTCACTCTTAATATATTTCTTTTTAGAACACCCCATATACGACATTTTGAAACAATATCTATAAAACCCCTTTTTATTGGCTTAGAAATACTACAACCAGATGAAAAGATGCACAAGAAAATTCTCTTTCTGAAGAAGCAAAAAAGTGAATTTCGCAAAATATTCCAGATAGCCTACGACCTTTTGACTTCCCACCGACGATATGCTCTAACTTTGTAATCAATAGGCCCCTACGCCTCAATTCTGTCGAACGCTTATAATGTTTCTCACTATAACATAGGCCAATTAGTTGTAGCCTACCTAGCTTTTTAATATATTTCACCGATATGGGTAGGCCCTACTTGTATAGGTAATTTTCCTTCAATTTTCTTACATTCATATTTTATGTGGAATACAGCAGATCATGACTCGTACTAGTATTATACAATGCTTGGGATATATTCTTCCTTATTGTTAGTTTTCATTTTTGAGTGAAGTCTGTATCACTACAGGCCCGGGGCACTTACGGCTAGCCCCCGGATCCATTCACTAAATCTGATATGTGCTTGTGTTTGTGATTTATTGTCCGTAAATTTGTTTGTGTAATTGTTTGTGTGTGGTGCAGTCTCCCTGCACTTACTATTAAGCTACATCCATAATCAAAATACACATACATTGAGAGACTGGCTACATTTAATTAACCTGAAACGTGTTTGTATAATTTCAGTGGTAGTATTTCAAGTATGCATACAGAACAGGTATAAGCTCAATAAAAAATACAGAAAATGGCTGGCTCAAGCGTCTGGTGATAATAAAGTAGAGGACAAGGGTCTACTTGCACAGGCTAAGGTAAGTTACTAAAAAGATTACTCCTTCAATTTATTAACCTTTAAAATAAAGGTTTTAAAAAGTTTAAACTCTTGCAACCATCCAATGCAGGTTCAGGCAAAAAGTATAAAGATGTTTTTTTTTGTGGTTATGTAGTTGGCTGCAGAAGCTGAGAATGCTGATAATAATGCTGAACAGAAACGTCAACTGGGAAAGAAAGTTCGATATGGAGAGATCGTACAGGTAAGAATAACAGTGTAACTTTTAATTTAAATAATATTATCTATTTTACAAATACATTGTATATTTGGAGAAATATTATCTTGGTCTAATTTCATTTGTCAACAGCGCCATTGATAGATTATTTAATAAAGAAAGATATTTTATTTTCAGCTGAAACATGTGTTTACCAACAAATATATACACATGTGTACGTCACAGACCAGCCAAAAGGATAAAAATAATATGATGGTAAGTAACTGTATGTATTTTACCAACATCAAATAAACGCTTATTGTTTGTATCACATCAAGTCTGTGTCACCAAATCAACATTGAGATCCCAGTTGATAAATTTACATAATTGAGAATATCAAGAACGTTTAACTTTGAAATTATTAGAGCTGGGTTAAATGAAAACTTCCGAAATATTCTAAACGTATAGTATGGGTTGCTATATATTGTTCGAGTCACTAATAATTTGTTTAAAACACACGTCTAAATTTCGTTTCGTTTCTTATACTTTTGATTAAAAGACGAAAACGATCATTTTTTTCTGACGTTTTATGTGTGTCTCCCAAGATTCAACACACAGCTCGCGTAAATAATAACTAAAGCGAATATGCCATTGGCTAATTCCCACACTAAACAGACCTCGGTTTATTTAACTCTTCCAGATTCAATTCCACGACAGTGAAGACAAATAAAAATTAAATCTGAACTATGAAATCGGAACAACATAAGATCTTTATTTTAATCTTATTGTGATGTCATCGATGTAGCAGAAGGAAGTGTATTTTAATATTGGCAATGTTCGCCCTAGTTTAAGAGTGTATTCACGTTCAGCATGTAGACCATAATGATATAAAATCCCTCAAGCAAAGGCTTTGATTGGATAAACAATAAGGCACAGACCTTCGCCGCCTTGAACAATCTCTTGTAGAAGAATGGTCAGAATACACAGATACCGCACACATAAAATGTATTCCTAGCACCAAACCTATCCTATGATTCGGTACGTGATACATTGTAGGCGTAGGTATTTCGGAAAATAGACCTATATCTCCAGGGTTATTCATCATCGACGGTAATCGATATTATTACTCAACTACTGGCAGAAAAAAATCGTGTCTATTTATTAAATACACAGTGGGGAGGACGCAAATTATACTTAGAAGAGAGAAGTACAAGAAATGCAAAACAAATATATATAATGAAATGATGGAGAACTGGTCATTATCGATCCTATATGATGGGGTTTGTCAGAAGATGTACTGAAAGCCCTTTAAAAATAACACTTCCTTCGCTTGGGGTATGAATATTAATTTTGAATGCATTATAGGGTGCGCGTATAGAAATGATAATTATTTAATACTAGTACTTCAACGTGAACATTTTATCCCCATTCTTAAAACGAAATTTACGATCTTTTCTACAATTTGTTTTCATTACGAATTGCAGTTTTAATAAATATCTAAAGCAATTATATAATATGTTCTGAAGTTTGTGTTTTTGAATCTGAAGAATTTTGCTGTCATATTATTGAGTCATTATTAGTATAATTCTTCCTGTATTATAATTTTATAGTGCATATCGCGTGCTATGTGATAGCGTGCAGGGTTACATTTTGATAGACACAGAACACGCCTATCCCATTACTCTTCTCAGTAATGAAAGTCAAGCCATCTATTTAAAAACCAGGACATGGTTAGCTTGCTAGAATTATCATTCAATTTATACACTGTTTTGATCTATTCAACGTATGTTGACATTCTTTTGTTCTATGTTTGTTTGGGTGCCAAAAGGATTTCATTTTCGTAGAAATGGGTGCAAAACGAAATGTTAATATAAAACTTGATACGGATAGTTGAGGATTCGATACAAATGATTGAACAATTAAATACTAATATTAATGAAAGGATAAATATTAGTAATTACTAGGATGCTGAGTCTGACTTAGGTTCCGTTATTTAAAGACAGTGGGTTCCAAACGTATCCATGTACTAAATGTTACATAAATATGATTCTAAAATATATTTACTAAATATTACATTGCATTAATATTATTCACGTGTGAAAGAGAAGCCATTTTTAATTGGAGCGTTACCTCTCTTTTATCATAACCCAATGGCTTTGATCAATTTTATATTAATAAAGTCGACCATTATTCCCCATGATTTATCTCGATATGGGCTTACTGATAATTCTTATTCATCTTCTGGGAGTTTTGTCCTTGGGTCTTCTATATAATCAGTCTATCCCACGAATTATTATTAGATTGTCATTTCGTTTGAATCGGTGTTTTGAAATAACCATCATGTATGGCTCATCCATGACTTCATTTAGTACCAGCACTCCATAACCGAGCCTAAATCGTCGTGTAATCGTCATAGTACATGTAACCGTAGACAACAAAAAATATCCATGATCAATATTTGATTCGTTTGTCGTAGACTAGTCGATTACATACCCTTTACAAAAATATTTACCCAACATTCAGAAAGGTAAAGTATGAACTGAGGCAAACGAATGGTTCCATTTCTAGGTTAACACTTGTAATACTGCAACATTAATAGAAACCAGGTAGAGCTCGCAGTAAATTTCCGAGAAAAAATTGTTAAATTATATGTTTAGTTAGAATTTCACATTCATGTTATAATCCACTCGTAAGTAATAGTCTGACTGATAAAATGCCAACTTTGGGTCTACAATTCCAACTATATCATACAAATATACACCCTAAAATGTGTTATTTCAATTTTATATTTCACTTAATTTATATTACTGAACAAATCTGTTGTCTGCGCAGCATTTTCGCTAGCAACACCCAATTATTTATAACACATATTTATCTATTAATTTGTTATTATCATAAGTTAGTTAGACCATGATGCAGTTAGTTTGTCAATCAATAGAGAAGGTCTGCAACTATCCAATATTTAAAACAGATGTTATTTTTGATGAGCATTGATCGTGTAACGTAGCAATAAGACGAAGATCTGCTCATGGCTAATCTGCAGGGTTTTCGGGGATTGCTAGATGAATACGAAGAAATGAATTACTGCGGAATCATGTTTTCTTTGACTTTCATTCCATAACAAGCAGGATGGCTCCAAATGTCATTACAAACCCATTTACATTTCCACCAATTCCGTTCTTTATTTGCACTGTCTGACCTGTGTATGCGGTCCATATGCTTAAAGAAACGATCAAATTATACATGATTGTATATTAGGGTTATTATTTTCTACATTTTAAGATGTATTTACCCAAGGCTTTCGACATAAATGTGTCTTTTTATCAACCTTGTAGGCGGTGCATACTTCTCGGTCATTTTGTAAATAAATAATCACTCTTCCTATTATCATACTTTCGATTTGCAAGCTCTGGTTTGCAATGTTCAATATAGCCGAGTCGATTCTTTCAGATTCAAATACAAAGTTAGCTACTCAATATTACCACCCAAATAACAGTTCTGAAAAGTTTGACACGTGAAAATGATTAGATCAAAATAAATAATCACTTTACCCTGTCCCCGTTATCTTTATAACTTCAGACCCAACTCTCTTATAATAATGTAACCTTGTGTAGAAATTTATGATATATTTTTCTTTGTAAATCGTTTTGTTGGTCAATGAAATTAAAACACTTGGAGTCAGCAGTCACATCGCTTGCGAAATCCAGATGGATAGTAAATTGCATCATCCATTGGATTTATAATAAAATCGTATCATTTGCCGATGATGTGCGATACTGACGACATAATTGAGTCACTTTATTGAATGTCGTAATACATGTATTTATCACCCAATAATACATTCTACAGTAGATATCGCTTGTGTGATATATCGCTTTACAAGAATTTGATTGGTCAGTTGTAAAGGAACTACTTTTTTTCAAAGAACAGTTCATTTCTTATTAAAAGTAACTTTTTTTTAAATTAAAAACGAACTATTGTATTCAGTTGACCTTGGTGGAAACACTGGGTCAATATAAAGGACTTTACAATGGTTGAATTACTGTCAAAAAATGATGTATCATTTCAGTAAAAGTGAAATCTACAGCAAATAATTATATTTATCTATTTGTGCATGTAAGAAGGGAATGGGTGATAAATAAAATCTCCTACTCGTCTTTTTTTATATCAAAAAATATCAAAGACTGGTAGGAGATTCTCAATATAGCAAAGACCATATTAATTTTCGAATTACATATTATAATTATTTAAACCTGTAGAACATGATGTGAAAATTTGGTTCACCAGTTCGCTTTAATGTGGAATGATCGAGGGAAGATTGTCAATACTAATTGGTTTAGTATCAGGATTATATAAAGTACAGAAAGATCGAGGAGATGGGGGTTCTATATATCCATCGTATTGGCAGCCATACACATGATCATTAACACATGGCCTCTTGTATTTTTCTTCATATTGTCTAAGGAATTAGAATTTTATTATATATGTCAGAAAATGAAAGTTATGTTGTAACTAACAAGATTGTTTAATTAATAGCGATCACTGATAGTATATGGTAGTTACTGTTCTAAAACATTGAATATCAAGGGAATGTTTGGGTTATTAACCAGCTAGAACATAATAGGTATTGGACTATGTAATATTGAATATCAGGGGATGAATGTTTTCTTAATTAGGGAGTTTTATATTAACCTTATTACATTAAACAGGCCAATAAAATACATGGTGTAAGTACGTACACAAGAACCTATAAGAGCGTTGTTTTTGTAAATACCATATAAAGTATAAAGTATACGATCTGTAGAATATGTATTATCTATATATATTTCCTTTTCACTTTTTGCAATACTTCGGGCGCTATTGACGAAACAAAGCTTCGTTGGTGATTTAGTAGAGTCAAATTGCAGAATAACCATACAAAAATTGCTCGAAAAAGTTTTATTGCATTTTCTTGTTGCATTTGGTCCAGAGAACAACATGTCAAAAGTTGTCTGAAATTGAGCTACCGCAAAGGGTCTAAATATGACGTCAAACAAAATGGCCGCCATTGGACCAAAATCCGTTTTTTTTCGGCTCATATTCTATCAAAGCTGTTGTTTGAGAAGGCTTACGTGTAATACAATGCTATTATAAATGCAACATCTTAGCAATTCATCACTCTGTGAGTGTTGTGCAGTGTTTCCAAGTGGCGTTATAAGGAGTCGTTATGACGTCACGACGAAAAAATTTCTTTTCTGATGGTTTGTTAGCCATTTCATTTGAAGTTGTAGATGGAT